AGAGCTCTTTAAGGGTGACATATTATACAATTTTGGAACAGTCTGCTTTTTTTTTCTTTTTTCTCCAAGGGACTTGAGAACTCCTTCTGTAGAAATACGCAGGCAGTGCTCATCTCCGAGACAGCTATTTCCAGAATTCGACAATCTGTCTAAAGAACTGAAACTTCCCAGCTGAAGAGTAAGGTACTCTTCCCTAGCATCCTTTCTAAGTACAGCAAAACAGGAATTTGACTAATCCTGTTCCCAAAAGAAATAAACATGGGGGAGAAGAACAGCTATTATTTATACAGAGATTGCCAGACATTAAATAAAAACATGGTTGTTCAAGGTAAAAAATAAAAAGACAAAAGACAGACAAAAAACCCAATAGCTTCACTGTGGATCAAAATAACTTTTTGTAAAGACATTAAAGCTCCAGCTCTCAGTTCAATAAAAGCAAGCAGAAGAGAGAGGGTTTGCTTGTCTTTAAACCTACTAATTGAAAGTACAGCAGTGAAGTGGGGTTCGGAGCAAACCGGCTCTACTTCAGGTATTAGCATTTTGAGATCCTTACTATGACATGCACTCCAGGAGGCAGAGGGTGACCCAAATCAGCACAAATCAACGAAGCCTAAAAATAAACAGAGCTTTAGGGCTCATGATCCAGTGGTTTTCAGACACCTCGTCCTCCAGAACTCCAGCTTCCTTTGGAATAAAGTGGCAATCTTCTACGGCAAAAGTATTAACCTGAAAGCAACTGTAGTAGTGACGTGTGACCGAGTCCAGAGAGAGCTTAGAGCAACGAGGTGCAGCGAGTACTCTGACTCGTCCTAAGTATTAACTCAGACATGCAAGGATAACTTAATTGTCCTAACAGTCAAGTGTTTGACTCAAACAAAGACTAGAGAGGAGAGGGATTAACTTTCTTATGAGAAAACCCTGCAAATTTAAGCTTTAATAGAGGCTTATCGTGGTGTTAAAGGGAGCAGAGTATTTGGCAGAACACTTATTCTCTCCTCTTCAACCATCTTTGAACCACGGGTTGGTCCATCTTGGGAGTGCAAAGCCAAGCTATTAAATATCACATTTTAATGAAAAAAATATCTGCACTCACAAGGCATTAGGGCTAATCCCTAGGCAGGCACTTACATAGCACTTTAAACCTTTTGCAGAGGTGCAGCTGAACCTCAGTGAGAAGCCAAGACTCTTGAATTCAAATTATCCTAGTTAAATATCTCCATGCTCCAATGCTAAAAGCACTGCATTTTGGCATCGCAGAGAGGTTGTGCGAAGGAAAAACACTGCCCTTGTTGCTTCCAGGCTACTGTTCATGATGTGATACAGCAGGGGAAACAGCCCTTTTGAGCAGACCTTGTATCAGGAGCTAAAGGCAGCTCCGGGCTGCTCACGCTGGCACCGTAACACAACTTGATCTTCTTGCCCCATTTTCTCCCAGTATAGGTGCCATCTCTGGGAAGCGCTCTGAGGTGCATTATTATCCAGAGATAAGCACTCAGAATTGGAATAAGAAAAAGTATTTAAAGGTATTTCTCAGCTCCTTTGATTTCCTTTTCTCCCTTTAAAACAAATAAACAGAGGAAAGTGTTTGGGGTTTTTTTCTCTCTCAAAAACCTTCAGTCTTACCGCATGTAAATCCATGAAATCTAAAAATCCAGTTGATATCAAACAGCAAAAGAAATAAAACCGTTACACTTTAATCATTCCTCATCAAGTTCTCCTCCTGAAAGGATGACAAATCTCAAAACTACAATAACTTTGCCAAGCAATGTTTAGAAAAACATGGAGAAAAAAGCAATTATGAGAAGTGGCACTTGCCCAACTTTGGTGTTGACAAGAAACAGATGGGCAGAAACACCCTCACTGGGGTAGCCAGGGTACTAAAACAAATCTTTGCTATGAAACGGAGTCAAGTTACTTGGGGGGATACCGAAAACAATGTGTTTGACTATCTGTGAAGAATTTACTGGATGAAAAATAGTTCTGAATCGAGAGCCAAATTCTGACATTAAACTTTTGTAGATAGCGACTGCTAAACTAGACGTATATATTTACCCAATGGCAAAACATGACCCTTTTACAGTGATAATTTTTGGCACAACTTCTTCAACTGAGCTGACAAAATATGGAGTAAGAGAGAACATGAAAGCAATTCACTTTAAAGCATCTTTGAATCTTTGTAGAACAAAAAGTGTATTTTTCTTAAGAGCTGCTGCGCTGTGCAGTGAGTTTATAAGGATTTCTAAGAGCGGGTATTTTCTGGTCAGATGGGAGGTCAGTTTGCACATACTTGGAGGCGCCCAAAAGCCACGTTGCTACTAGTGATTAATCTGGAGACGAACCTGGTACGTTGGTGAGCTTGAATAGGAAAAGCCAATGTGTATCTCACCCCACTTATAGAGGCACCAAAATTAATCCTAAATTAACTCGCTTTCATCCCATATATTACATATATATAACGGCAACGTCTTCAATGAGCTCAGAAAAACCCATTTGGTATTTCAATGTCATTAAACATTTTGTAAAATGCCTCTGACAATGGTGACTGATGACTTCAGTGAAAAGCCTTTTGACTTCATGTCACTGGATGAAAATCCTTCAATGTTAACACCCAACAGGCAGAAAGTTCAGTGGCAGTTAACGGAACAGACTGGGCCAGCGTGTACAAGAATTATCCTCCAAGCTCCAGAAACGGTCTAGCCAAGGTTACAGCTGATGCAATCCTAAAAGGGCATCATCAGAAAACTTCCACGGCTCTTGTCTGTGCTTCACCATCCGCAGAGAGGAGTGGCTGAGCTCAAGGACTGTCACCCCGACAGCGTTACGTTCACATCACCATTTAAAAGCAGCTATTGGAAACTTCTGCAGCAGGGCAGAACAGTTGTTTCATTAAATGTAGATTTAAATCAGTTTTGAGCACTCGGGATAAAATACTTCCACAAGACATACAGAGCAACGCAGTAAGAATTCTGAATCCCCTAGTACACACCCAAAAAAGTTGAACCCATTTTAGCAAAAGGTCCCCTATTTTGAAAAGGTCCCCCCCCCAACAATATTACTTCTCTGTCCTCAATTTTAAAATCATTTAAAAGTCATTAATCATTCAAATATAAAATCCCCTGCATTCCAAAAGGAGATCTGAAACCCAGTCCAAGTTTGTTTGTTGTTTTCTTTTGGTGTGTGTTTGTTTTCTTCTCTAAGGACACTGTGCGTTTAAACACTAACCCAAACAAAACCCTCTTATTCCACCTCCCATGTGTGGAACATTTCAGCCTGTAATCATACTTCTGAATTCCACATTTCTGATATACTTTATGCAAAATTAACCATACCGTTTTCTATGCAGTTAAATTACTTCATTCCTAGGTCCAGGCAGATTAAAAGGGTAATTCATAACCATTTCCAAGTTAGTTCATAAAGAAGTTTCAGTGGTTTGCTCTAAGAACTTTAAAAGCCGGTTTTCCATACTCATTCTCATTAAAAACTATTTGTATGAGGATGATAGCAAAAACTGAACTCAGAAAGAAATCAAAACACTAACAACCCAGTCACAAGAACTAGACACACATGAGCTCGGCTGGCCACCGAGGAGCTGTTGAGCTATGCCAATTATAGCATCCAAACGATTCTTTATTTGAAACTCTGAAAAAAGCCTTCGAGATTTTAAAGAAGGTTCTCTGAGGCTACATTATTTACATTCGATTAAGGAATGTCAGTTCTAGCAATTATGCTATGCACCATGCACGGCCATGAAGCTCTTATTTTTTAATGCACTGCCAGAAAAAGGCTTTTGTCTGTTTAGATAGCTTTTCATTAACTGCATTTCATTATTTTTTAAGATTAATTACTACGTCTGCATCAGAAGGTGAAAGAGAAAAAATTGAGCGCTGCCCTCTCCCTGTGTCCTGTGTCTGCTTTTCTATACCACAAAACAAAAAAGAATTACATTAGCGTATAGAAATTCAAATAGTTCATTATTTTTTTTAACATAGCTGTGACTCAAGACCTCTCATTTAAGCCATGTGCTAACAAAAAGACATTTGAGCATCCAACAAGGTTCTCGAGTACGAAGGTGACCAAAATCCACTTACCAAATGCGCACTGGTCAGAGGAACGTGCTTCTGCCACAGCAATGTCAAAAAAACAGAAACTGAAATTTAATATGTACATTTTTAATGTCAACACCCAATGATGCCCTAAAATGTAATTACCCGGGCAGTTCCTGGAGATCAACAGGGTCATAAGGTAACGAACAGTAATTCTGCTTGGTGCACACTATGAAAGCCTCAGCATGTTCATAAAAAAGACAAGCTTCAAGAGCATGTACATAATATAATTAAGCACAGATAGATGAAACTCTGATTCTCCATCCACCTGCGTATTTTACACAAGTATTTTAAACTTTTCCCCATCAGCAATAAGGTTTGGTAAGGCTTTAAATCTTGCACACTGCGGTACTAAGCTTTTTAAAGAATGGACTAGGAAAATAAAAAGCAATTCCAGCAATCCAAAAAGGTTGGCTTTTTTTATTTACAGACTACTGGCAATTAATTTAAAGGCATCGGATAATGGAGAAAATAGGCATTTTCTAACTTAAAAGTATATAAACAGCTTCATCAGAAACCAATCTTTTAGGTACATAAACAGCTTCATCGGAAGCCGTTCTGCTAGTTGCATAAAGAATCCTATTATGCCAAATTAATTCAATCTAACTAATTAGAGAGCAGGAAGTTCTTTCAATTATTTTATGTGCTGTCTGAGAAACACACTTGAATACGAGAGCAGATTTCATTAATTGCGGTTCATTATTCTCCAGATTAGTTACTAAACTTGCATCCGAAGGTCAAAGACAGCAATTTTGTTAGCTGCCACCACCTTGACTGGAACGTCTCTGCATTTTTGAAACTCAGGCAACCACTGACTATAAACAAAAACAGCACTGGGAAAGACCATTTTGTTAAGATAACTTCTGTATGTGCTCGCTTACTTTAAGGTTAACGCCAGCCTAAGAAACAGCCTACGACTGAAATAAAAAGCTGCTGAAATAAAAAAAAAGCAAAAGGGTATTTTCAGGAGGAGTGATCAGAACTCCGTCTTTTGTTCACCCACACAGAATCAGAGATTCTCCGCTCGGAGAGCTGCTTGGTCACGATGAACTTCACTTCAGTTATAAACTTGGAAAAAGGTTAAGTACTGCTCGCTTGGAAATGACGCGCAAAAGCACTAAAATCAACTTAGCCATAAGACCCTGCTTACAAGGCACAACAAAACAGATCTGATGCGTTCTGCAGAGATGTACAGCCACCTAACCCTGATAATTTCACTAGAACATATGGAAGATTTAATACAACAGCTGGGCCAGCCAACTAGTTCAAGATGGTTCACCAGCATTTTTCCAAAAACGGGTTTTAATGACATTAGATAATGAAGTACTCTCAAATAATATAACAGATATGCACTGAAAAAGGGAGCTTGACAAGAACTTTGGAAATTCTCTTTCGCTATAGTTGTTTGACGAACCAGGAGAAAGTAATAAACTGATCCGCTTAGCTTTTTGGTATTTATGTTCAAAAACCTGTTATTACATACCTGCTCGTTTGCTTTTAGCCAGGAAAGGATAATTTAAATCTTTCCATTTGCTTTGTAAAGCATTCCTTTAGTCATTTCTATTCCTGAACCTAGCTCTCCCAATTTGCTGTTTACGGCAACAGAAGTCCATCAGTTCCCAGTTAGGGGTCAGATTCCTTTGCAATTACAGCTGAAAAATCCTTTTGGCTTCTACTTTTGGCTGACTGCTTTTTGTAGTTTACCACCTACTCTCACCTTACACATTCATTTATGTCCCCTGCCACTGTGTATCGAAGTTTTATTCTTCCACAGAACTAAGATGCATTGTTCTGTATTTTCTGAGACTCAGAAATATCATTTTTGTGTCCTCTCTATTGCATAGTTTACTACAGTTATGCGAGAATTACTAGCTTGCTGTCTCGCTCGGGCAGGTTAGCGACAAGGTGGTAAAGCTGATTGCCAAACACCGACCCCCATAGCCGCCCCAGCATCCACTGAACACAACGGCCATTCATCACCGCCACCAGCTAAACTCTTCTGCCCGCATTTGCATCATCAGGCCGTTATAAAGAAACAGCAAGAAAGATTAGGAGACGTGATAGTTATGAACTTAAAGCCAGCCTCGCTACAACAGCACGTGTTTATTTTTTGTGCCGCACAGAGGCTGTAGCTAAGTCTGTGGCTGTTCCTTCAATTTTTGCTCTCTTCTATACACTGTGATTGCTAACGGGAACGAAGCAGCTCTGTTTCCTTACTGATAGAGCTGCAAAGAATATCTATAACCCTCTCAAACCAGGGAGGCGAACTTGCAATACAATTGACTTGTTCTATTACAAAACTAAAAGTAGCGAATAATTTTAAGATTTCATTTTATTATACAGATCCAGCGGTCATGGAAAAACTTAGGTTGCTCTCCTATGCAACCTAGCATTAAAACATCACACACTCCTGTTTGTTTATTAGCTTTTATCTTTATTTTTTTTAAACAAAGCAGAAATAGCATTTTCCCTCCTATTAAAAATTGTTGCAATCATGATCTGATTACTTGAGTTTCCATAGTAATCCATAATATAAATTAGAAACTCTTTAAACAGATGCCGTTGTAGTTTAAAAACTGACTTCAAGACAAATAATACAAGGCTGATCTTGCACAGTAGGAAGGAGTGGGAACAGGTGGTTAGAATAGAGGCAGGAAATTAGGCCTCGTTTGTAATCTCAGCTCTCATTGATTCAGTAAGAATTCAAGAAGTTGTGAAAGGCTCTCACTGCAATTGTAAAGAGCACCTATTTGCATCTTTCGATACCCAAATACCTTTAAGAAAGCCACTGTCTTAATTTTAATTCTCTAAATTTCATAGATGAGTAGGGTTATACGATTCCAGTCTCAACACTAAGGCTGTCGTAAGCAAAAGGCAACATGAAAATGTACAGCATTAAATTAGATAAGGTTGGGGAGTAAAATTTGCTCCTTTTATTACTTTGTAGAGAATAAAACAACAGTTAAACTAAAAATATTTTGAATCTGTCTTACTTTTATTTGTGCTAGGTCTGTGGTACATTACTTTTTAAAATATTTAAGTGTTATTGTATTTATTTTTGGTTTGTTTATTTATTTAATATTTCACTGTACTTCTACAATGACAAAACAACTTCCTGTAATCCTCAGGCATTCTTATAATGGCAAGTTTAGTTGTAGCAAACAACGGAACAGAATGTCTGGATCCTATCACAAAAAACAGTTGCTTGAGGATTTTAGGTATGGAAAGGTCTAAGTTAACAGGTGATGTGCTCCCAGAACTCCAGATGTGTGAACAAGATGACAGCAGAGTGAGCCGGACGGTTAACAAAGCACGGACAGAATGGACTTCCACAAACTTTAACAAGTGAGATCTGGCTCCAGATTTATCTTCATAACAGTTTTTTAGATCTTCCAGACTTACACTATACAGGACTACTCCCTTATAAATAAACTACAGACTCTCAAATAAAGGAGAAAATATTATTTATAATGGGATTCTGTATTTCCTCTGTTTTCTTTAAAAGACAGTGATGTTTTTTAGTCTGTTTGACCACGCATTAGCTACTGCTCAGAGCACAGTAGCCATATCTGGAGCAGGTGGAGTTTTGCAGCACAGCATCCAAAAAAAAAAAAAAAATATAATGCTTCTCTGACATGTGGAATAGATAAGAGAACAAAAAGCAACTGTCCGAAGTACACAGCAAAAGATGTTAAAAGGTGACATGAGCTGGGGTGAGGGGTTGGGGGGAACGGTGTATGAAATAACGAATTAAAAATAGAATTACATTTTCCACTTGGCAATACAAAAACAACACTAAGTGCACTTCATAAATTTTACTATTGTTGCTGCAAGTGGTATTACCATAAATCACGTTGGTAGTGTACTTGGCACTTCTAAAAAGCCAAGTGGGGCTGAGTGTATCAATAAGTTTAAACAGCTCCACTATCTCTGGACAGAATGGAGGGGAAATGCATTACAAGGCTCTACTATGACTAAAAGCTTGGTTTGCACTGCAACAACATCCAAAATAGCACTTTGCCAGCAAGTCTAACAGCACTCACCAATATTACTGCATAGCCTATTTGATTTAATTTTTTACCTGCTGTGCAAGAGGAGAGGTCTGCCTGGCCTTCTTCTCATCTCTAACAGGAAAGAGAGACTTCAGCAGCTTGGGCATCTGAGGCACAAAGGACTTCACAGGATTCAGATAGGAAGCAGCAAGGCTACCGATACCTGTTGGAAAAATTAAAAAATGAGAACAGTTATGCTTTGGGGAAAGGAAAAGGAAAAAAGAAACCCAACAACCCAACCCCCCCTAAAAATATATTACAAAGCTTATCATTTTAGTCTAAGATGACATCTTCCAGTGATCAATGCATTAGCCAAGGAAAAGCATTGAGTGCTTGCTCCTCCCTTGAAAGGGACAGATGAATTTGGGTAGGTCTTAATCTCTGGCCCCAGCACACAGAAAATTTTTTTCATCATATGGTGTGGAAAAGCTTGTTGTTTGCAACTGGAAACATAAAATGCTTTATAACTTGCAGAAGCAGGGAAAAAAACAAAAAAAGCCAAGAAGCAAAACTGAAAAAGGATGTCCATACAGCCCACAGTTTTAACAACAATTACAAAACTTACTAGAAATAAAAGATGAGAAGACCCAAGTTAAGAAAAAGAAAAAAAAGTTAGGGGCATTCAACTCTCCTTCCTCATACTGCCATTATTTCTACACTACTCCCGCCTTGAGAAAACCTAGTTAGACATACAAAACATCACTACAACATAGTTCTGCTCTCTCAGTTACACAGTAAGCACATCAGCTGCAAAATAATCCATCCAATTTCAGTGCTGCTTATTTTCTAAAACCTTAGCAACCTTACTGTCTTTTGCTGGTTTACTCACAAAACAAATAGCACTTTCTGAGCCCAGCTAACTTTTGGCTTTATAAATTGAGCTCCTGAGATAAGACTCCATCTTCAGACAACTTTAACCATGTGGCATTTAGCAGAACTAGTGACAGAGTTAAAGGAAAGGCTAGCTGGAATAGCCAAGAGTCTGAGTAGCTGCGCCACAACTGCTAAATATTCACAGAGAGAACTGTGTGGACATTGCTCTGGCAAAGAAATTTCTCTGCATCTCTGAAAGCAGCTCAGCTTCACCTGACATTCAGGAGCTGGGGTAACTTCACTCCATTTTTAGGAAAGTTGTTTTAGCTTTAGGAAAGCCCTTACCTGGATCAGGAGAGTGGTTTTGCTGCCCAGAGCCCGGCAAAGAGGTACGAGATGGACTAATGCCTCTACGGGAATTTGTGGCACCTCGGGACACATCTTGCTGACTCTCCCATCGGCCCTAGGGAAAAAAAAAAGTTGTATTTTTCAAAGTTAGCACACCAGCAAGAGTACAGCAATACTTACCTACCATGCCAGCCTGCACAGCCCCTTTGCAAAGTTCAGAATGCACAGAGCTGAGGAAAGACCCTTCCCCAGAGGTGCTTTTAGTTGAAACACCCAGTCCTGCAAAGATAAGCACCCTCAGCTCCCGTCAGCATCAAGGCACATAAAAACTCTACTTACAGACCTTAAAGCTGTAATAGTTCACTCAATTGTGCAGCTGTGTTTTGGAAGGTACAACGAGGTGAAAAGTTACACCCAGGAGAAAATAAAATAGCACTGCCTGCCCAAAATTCCTAAATATTTCGCATATCTTCTCAGGAAGTGGACACAAGTGAAATCTGGATATAGAGAGTGTCAGGGAGAAGGGGTGAGGACAGACAGAGCTCTGAACAAGAAAAGAAATATGATCTTAGACCTAAAGGCTGGATGGTAGTGCCTAGGGTCAGATAACGGATGAGCTCATCAGATCAAGAGGAAACAACTGTGTAGTGCAATTTTTTTTTTAACAGCCAGGAAAAGAGGAAGGTGGAATACACGACAAGAAGCTGTGGATACCAGGAGCCAAGAAAAAGATTAAGTAAAGACAGGTTAGAGTTTTGACATGGTTAGTGAAGATGAAACACGATGATTTTCAGACCTGCAAGAGCCTGAGTGCAGACGAGGTAGGAAGAAACAGCAACCAAGAGGGCAGTAGGCCATCTGCCTTCCCAAGGTCCCGGGATTCTCTAGTTGGGTTTCACATAGACTCCAAGGGAGGCACACACCATTCTGCACGTGGGGTGTGATTTCTCGCACTTTTACAAAGGTCCACTGTGGTTTTGCATCTTTCATCTCAACCTTACGGGTCAGAAACTGGCTCAGTGACAAAGTCTCTTGGCTAACAGAGAGAATCTCTGAGCTACTATTTCACACCAGTGCATGAGTGTCAAGAACCTATGTGGCCAAATAGTTTTTTTTTCCTAACTCTATCATCTTGATATGTAAAATCGTTTACAGATTTGTCTGCAATGACTACACTAAGCGACTGGCCAGAGGGTGTCTCTGCTGAAAGTTTCATGCGGATACAAGACAGTACATTGCCTCACCAAACTGAGCGTCACGTTAGCTGTGCAGAGCTGAAAGGCAGGCGCGGAAATCCATGTGGTCGTCCTGCAAACTTCTGATATAGGCACATTCGCAACATGAGTTCCTTTGCGCTGCTGAAGAGTAGGCTCTAATAAAGCTATTTGGTGCTAATTTACTTTATTTATAGGAGACCTTAAGGCGATTCAATATCCATTTTAGAGTCTATGGGTGAAAAGAATCTGGTCTCAAATGCTACAAGAAGTCTCAATGTCTTGTGGAAAAGTGTCGTCCTGTTCAGGTAGCAGCGTGCCCTCAGGACTACAAGCTTGCAAAGTTTCACCTCTCCAGAAACAGAGGTTGCAAAGACAGGATGGTGCAGCCAAACCAACATAAACTGAAGTCTGATCCCACTTCTGGTAAAGAGTTATGGTATGGTTGGTACAATATCTGTACTTGTCTGGATTATATTGTACCTGTATCTGAATCTTCCTTGTCCTTTTTTAAAAGACATAACAGAAAGAGGAATATTTTCACAACGAGATGGTACAGCAAACACAATAGAAAGGAGTCACAAGATCTGCTACATCCCAGACCACAAGTTTTATCTATTTTTTCCTGAGGGAAGAAGGGGAAATGCAACTTTTCAAGAAGCTTCATGCTGTTGGATGCAAGGAAATAATCTGACCTTGAACAGAAAAATGACAGGCAGCTAAACTAATCTTAACTGTAACTTGAAGTCATGAATGTTTCACAAATAATAAATAAGCCAGGATAGGAGGAATAGATTTCTCCAATGGGTTGAAGGTCACACTGAGCAGCCCAGAGCAAAAATCATTTCCATTTGGATCTATAAGTTAGTCCCATGGAAGCTCTCCTGCTTTGAATAGCAAGTAACTTGCACTTTTGCAGAGCAGCACCTGTCTTCAGACCTCTACTAGCTAACATCTGTATTATTAGATGCAGAGACAACAGGCGCTGTTTCTGTGAAGCAACATTCAGGACACCTAAAGACTAATGGACGTGTGAGTTGACTGGAGGCAGCCATCCTGAATGTCAAAACTGACGTAACCCAGGCTGGGACTAGCAGTAGTATCAGGGGTTTGTTTAGTCTTGTATTTTTGAGGACTCTGGTGTTTAAGCCCTTCTTGAAAGCTTCCTGCTCTATCAGCATGGATGACAGAGAGGTTCTACCCATACCTTAAGCCCCCAACTTAAGCATTATCTTTGACCTGCAACTCATTTATGCTTCACACACATCAAAAAGTCATGCATACATCTGGAAAACTCTTCCCACAAAATGCTTCTATGAAACAGCCTTTCCTATGCCACCCCTCAGAAACTCTTATCCAAGCTTTTGCTATCTTGAGTTTCAGCTAGTGCAGGTTTCTTTCAGGTGGCCTTACCGCATGCGGTCTTGCCCCACTTACACCCACTCAAAAGACTGCTTTCTTATCCTGCCATTTTGATCATCTCACGCACTGCAGAAGACATTGAAAGCCAGCATGGAAACGGCCAACGACTTCAGACTATGCTCAAACCGTCTTCCCCTTGGGATGTGAAATGTTTCCTGAAGTCTCCTCCTCTGGTTCCCACCAACGGGTTAGTTTGCAGGAGGAGAGTCAAAACACGAAAAAAGAGTTCATACTCTATCCAGATGGGGAAAATCTCTCAGTGTAATTCAGTATTTTTTGGATACACCAGCTCAGTGGTGCTGAAGGAGTTTAAAAAAAAAAAAAAAAAAAAAAAAAAGACGACTATTGGTGGGAATTCATCACAAGACTCAAACAATCTTGAAATACTGTTTGGTTTTGTTGCCTTCTGGTCTGCAATCAGCCTGGTAGATGTTGGCATTAGGTTAAGAAAAACAACTATGGAAGAGTGCAAAGCATCTGAAGGCTTCTTTTTTGGAGGACATAACAAAGCTGGATTAGTGTTACTTTTGGATCTTAGGGTAACGATCCACTTACTAAAGACAAATGGATAAAGGTGACGTGTCTTAATAATTTTCTATCTATAGGCCAAGTCTAAGTGCTTCTGGAGACCACAGAGACATAAGAAACAGAAAGACTATTACAGGAAAGTTTTCTAGCTTACTAGAACACCAATTCAATGCAGATAAGGAGCAGCTGAATCATTTTCTGAATCACGATTTGTTGAGTCAGAAGTGCCCTTCATTGACCATTCCAACAAAAATAATTTCAGGCAAGTATCTTACTTCTAGATCTGTTTAGAGAATGATTAAAAAATCGGAATAGGTAAGAAACAGAGCAAAACACTTTCAGAATATTCATCCTGTACAGACAGAATGGCAAGATTTAGTGACTTTTTCCTTAGGAAAAACTTCTTTCTTACAATCTTTAGGAAATTTTGCTTCAGTCTTAGTATTACAGATAACTACATTTTCTACATAATTTTAATTTAATGTTCTACATTTTGCCAGGTTAAATAAAATGCAGGTCCTGAGAACAGGAATATGCACTTGAGAATAGGATTTGTCTGGCCCACGTACTTAAAGCATGTTGGGTTTTTAAATAACACTTGCTTTGGAGTGAGTGGAAAGATCATCATTTTAGACTGAAGGTCAGATTTGTCAGGGGTAACGTGAGCCTCAAGTCTGAGATGACAGCAAACCACTAAAAAATAGGTAAATCAGGGCAACAGGTGGAGAAACATTTGCAAAAGAAAATGCTGGAGACAACTGAAAGGGTCAACTGTTGTGCGAAGAATCTGCAGAAGCAAGAGGTAGTTCGGAAATGATTGATTTTAATTAGCTGGATTGAAAGATAACCCATCTCAATCTCACAAAAAGAAAAAAAGTAAGAATTATTAACCATATTAACTTGACGAAGCTCCCAAGTTTCACATAAGCATGTTATATGGCACTCTCCCATGATTGCTTCGTGCATTCACTAACTGAAACACTTAAAACTTTAAGTCTAAGCCATTGGTATTATTTAAGTGCTGTGAATCTTTCCTCTATCAAGAAGGGTGGTGAGAGAAAGGAAGGAAGCTTGTAAATCATTTGCCCAGAGGAGCCATCATTTCGTGAATATATTTGGTCTCTGCCAAGTGACCAAACAGAGGTCAAGTGACTTAATTTAACAAATCAAAAATAGCCACCAGAAGAATGCATGTCCCTTGACGTATTTTGATACAGAGCTGTTTATAAAGTGGTTTATTTCTATAATACCTTTTCCTTCTTCTCCTCTGCCTTCCCTTCTTTCACACATCCTCCATGAAAAACACCAGGGAATTTATTTCAGGTCAGCACCAACATGCACAAAATCTTTAGAGCAAATATGGGTGATCACTACCTAAGTCATCTGAAGTCTTTACCTGACAACAATTCTTTTCTTGAAGTTGACAGACCATTAAAATGCTGCCACTGGGTAAGAGAAATGAAGAGTTCTTGTGTTTTATTACTTTAGCGG